CAGTTTCCTCCTTAACCGCTTCCCCTTCTCCAGCCTCACCATCCCTGCCTCTGCTCCTACACCCTGCTCTCTAGCTGCCCCCAGATTCTCCCCAGAGGCCCCTGGGCCTTTGCATGTGCAGGGCCATCTGCCCAGCGCACCCTTCCTCTCACCAAGTCTCTGCCCGGCAGGATCTTTCAAGATCGTAATGGTGGCTAAAACGTGCAGTCACTCTTAGTATGTGCAAGGCGGTAGAGAAAGTCATTAACCAGCAGAGACTTGGGAGCCAGGTTCCCTGGGTTTGCTACACGGCAAACTGCCTGTGTGACCGTGGGCAAGTGACTTCACCTCTGTGCCGCCAATACCTCATCTAGAAACTAGGGCTGATAACAGTGCCTACCTCCTAGGCTGGATGCGGGCAGCAGAGGAGTTACGTGAAGTGTCTCAGTTGGCTCTCAGGACAGCCCTGTGAGGCAGCTACTATTAGTACCCTCATTTCCCAGATGAGGAACCAAAGATCAGAGAGCCGAAGTAGCTTGTCTAAAGTCACACAGCTAAGAGGTATTATTGCCAGGATAGGGCCCCAGGCCTGTTGCTTTCAGCCATGCTGCTTGCTGTGTGACCTGGAGCTGGTGGCTTAACCTCTCTGAGCCTCAGCTTGTCACTGTGCAGTGGGAATGGTAGCTCTTGGCCTGCCTGCCTCCCAGAGGCCACACGAGGGGCAATAAGAGGATAAGAGTAGCGATGGGGACAAAAGGTTACCACCGCTCCAGGGGACAGAATCGGAACACTCAGGACCTGTGCACTTCATTCCATGTAAATTATATCTCAATAAAAGGAAATATACAGTTTTAAAAAAGTGATTTTGGGGAACAGCAGACCCAACCCACAGTTCTCACAGACTTTGGCAATAATTATAATAACAGTCCCTTCCACACATGACGTGGCAAAGCCACTCACTCCATCACTGTATCTCCTTTGTTCTCCCAGCAAACCTGGGAGGTCAGCAGGTTGGAGTACATTCGCCCATTTGTCAGATGGAGAAACTGAGGCCCAGAGAGGCTCACTGACTCGCCTGACGCCACCCAGTCAGGTTAGGGGCAGAGCCAGGCCTGGAAACTCAGGCCTCGTTCCCCTTCGTGCCAGTGTTGGAGAAGACAGAAGTTCAGAGCTTTTCCCTCTGGCTTTTCCCGTTGAAGT